TGTCCTTACATCTTATCGATCACAGCAAAGAGAGGTCTTCGTTGCATCGTCGAGAATAGGCGCACGCTCCTCCTTCGCTACGTCAACAACCGGAACGCGTCGATGCCTCTGTTCGAGAAAGACAGCGAGAGCTGCTGGAAGGAGAAGAAAGTGCAAGAAGCACTTTGGTGCTCATCTTCTACTAGCATGTGGAGCAAGCAGATGAGTAGAATCGTCGTCATGCACACGCACAGCCGCTACAAGTGTCCAGTCAAAGAAGACAAGAAGATGCAACCTATACCATATGAAGTAGTAGAGAAGCTTGCCACTGAGGCGGTCGCGAACGGGCGCGAACCTGATGTCATGAAGGACCTGCAAGATCTACACATCGAGACGCAGCGCAAACAGGCGGGAACCAGGGGTAGGATGACAGACGAGATGCATACGTTGAAGGACATGATGGCAAAACGCTGGAAGACAGGAATTGCTTCTGCGAAGAATCAGGCTGTGCAGCGCGTCGCCCATGACCCGAAGGAGTTCAAGAGCTATCAAGCTGAGAACATGGGCTTCCGTGGTGTGCAGGTGAAGACGATCTTGGAGAACCACTGGCAGGATAAAGAAGAGCTTCGCTTCTGGGTCTCGATCAGCAAACGTGTTGCGGAGGAGCGCCATCTAACGAAGAAGAGCGAGCTGGTGCTTCGCAGTCCAGAATCAGGTCGGCACTGCTATGCGACGCGTTTCTATGATGATCATGCGTGGTGGCAGGGAGTTGAGATGATGCATGATGTAGACAACAACACTCTTCATCTGCCAGTTCGTGATCAGGATCTTGTAATCACTGGTGGTCTTCTCGGGAAAATGGACATCTACGACGGCCAAATCCAGGAGCGTCGAGACTCGAAGAATGGAGGCTTCTCGTTGCATATCAGTGGAAGTCTTTTCATCACTTCCCGCAGCGTCTCGGAGACATTCTTCTGCGCGATGTCAATAGAAGCGCAGATTTCAGCACTGAATCAGCTCACCAAGAGATACCCAGACGTCAGCCGACATGATCTCCGAGCCGTTGGCCCAAAAGAGCGCCAACAAGCCTTCATCAACTACAACAAAGGAGCTCTTCCCAACAACTGGAGCCTCACGATGCGGGAGCTTGCAACTCCAACGAAGAGAATCATGCAGCGTGGTGGCGTAGACTCTTTGAGCCCGGAGCGCAAGCGAACTGCCCACAACTTCCTGACAAGCGCCCGAGCAGGTCGTCCACCAGGTCCGATGAGCCCAGATGCTGTCGTGAACAATCATCAACGTCAGGCGCCTCGCTTCGTCTACTCAGTCAGAGAGCATCAAGACATGGTCAGCTTGCTCGACGTGCCCCGCACATATGCCGAACTTCGCAGCCATCGCTGCAAACAAGGCGCACTTGCGGACCGTATCAGAATTCACTGGCAACCTTCTGGCTATCGTCCTACCTATGCCAAGCTGGCGCCAGAAATCGACGCAACCGGAGATGTAGAAAGCAAGATCATCAGCAGTCTTCTTCCTTACATCGTTGAGGAGTTCAACTTGAAGAGAGACGAAGTAGTAGTCATGCGAGTCGATGAAGACAACTTCGAGTTCGGTGATGAGGAGCAAGTTGATATTCCCGATGCTTTCTGGACTGACATCAAGCAGATGAGAGACCGACGAGGCCGAACCGCCAATGCAGCTCGTCAGAGACAACAAGAAGCGGCGTCTTCAACCTCAACAGCTGCGAAAAAAATCCCAGTGATGAAAACGATGACGAAAACAAAGAAGAACGAGCCTTCCACTTCTTCAAAAAAATAAATTGTCTTATTTGGTTTATCATCTTCATTTCAATCATTATTATTCTTGTTTGGATCGAAAAAATAACGATCACTCTTGACAGTATGGAAAGACTGAGATCATAAGTAATCAAGCTGTTCATAACATGAAACGAATGAAGCAGCGTGTTTTAATTTCTACTGGAGCGCTAAGATTTAACTTCGATACTTTGTCATAACTTATCTAGGAATGTTTAAGCACGGCACTCAAATCGATAGCGTCACACAATTAGCCTAATCATTTTACTCATCTTCATATCCTAGTAAGACTCCAGTATGTTCATTCCACTGATATAATAGACATTATGACTCAGGTAGTAGAACATAGTGCAGCTTTTCAACTCTGTACAGTTATGCAACAAATGAAAACAGAGCACCCTATGCATCAAGAAGAACCACGTCAGTCATCTTAAAGCTCATTTGTTATTATCATTAGGCAAGTCTTTTTCGATCATTCACTGAATGCAACAGATATGAGTAGCATCATTTACGTCCCTATCGATGTTGATTCTCCGCGACTTACTTCTATCAGGTGCTTTCTCCAATTCTTCTCGGATAATCGTCTCCACCCGGCTCCCAAACAAATGACCCACAGGAACATAAAACGACTCCAATATTCCCGACTTAATTGCACGGACGCCAGGCGCGTCTGCGTATATGGAGAGAATAGCTCTGCCCCGATCTTTGTTTGACCTGAACGCTTCTTGTATTGGAAGTAGTTGCAGGATAAAGATTCTCAGGGCAGACGGGCTGCACGAAAGTGAAGAAGAGAACTGTGGGAGCCAGTGAGGATCTCTCTTTAACTACCAGCAGGCACTTAACAAAGAGAGTAGAGGAGAAGAGTACTTGGAGTCTGAGATGTAGCCCTCCTCCACCAGTACCCGCATCGGTACCAATGCTGTCCCATGTAGTTGCATCCTCTCATGTGATTCGCCAGAGTCGTCTGCTCTCGCGTGTAGCATCAAGATGTCAAAGTCCTTAGCCTCGTAGTTTTCTCCGTTAGCCCTATGGATTTGAGTTAAGAGCTCTACAGTTTTATCAGATGCAGCTGGTTGATGTTCGTGATCGCATCCAAATCAAAATGAAGGATTAGGATACCGTCGCAGGCATACGCGTAGCGCGATGCTCTCTCCTCGAACTATTCGCCGCACTAGGACCTTCTCTTGCACACGCAGGGACCGGGCAGGAATCGCCGCAATGGAAATATCTCCATCGATCGGGCCAAACTCTGTTTCCCGTGGGACGTATCGAACTGATGAGTCTGCTAGTACTTTGAGGAAACGCCCTCTGATAGTTTTCTCTATCAATGACTGCGGAGTAGACGCCGTGACGGTCAGCAGCTGCCGCTCGTCTACACCTACTCCTTCAGCATACAACGCTAGCAGATGCTGTCGCAGTTGGGTCTGGGAGAAGTTGTACTGCTTGGCAAATGGCTCCCATTGGGAATAGGATCGCGCTTGGTGTATTTGTATGCAGATGATTTCGTTCTTGTTGTGATATGAGAAGCCAAGTAGTACTACTCCATGCAATTCTTGTCGTCTATGTTGAACTACGTGTCTTAATTTCCTGGCCCATGCGAGGTCCCTCTGAGTTGTTGACTTCAGTTGGCACAAGATCCACCGACCGCTATCTTCTATGGAGCTGCCAGCTTCGTCCGTTGGAATTATAGCGAAATCGCTCAGGCATTCTGGTGTGTTCTGAATTCGAAACGAGTGAGATAAGATTTTATCTAGTTCAGCTCTACATAGAGCCTCGATGCTCCTCGGACGAGTTCCCATATTCTAAAGGATCTAAAAGAGAATAAAAATGAGCGAAAGCCTCTGTTGCATAAATGAAACCAATCTGCTCGATCGTTTTTGCATATTCGAGAGAGTCCACTCCTTTTTTTGCATCGTAGTGCACCAGGATAGCAGGGCAGACTTCTCTTACATCTCATCGTCTTCATCAGTAGTTGTTCGTTTACTCTCTTCACAGGGTCAGCTCCCTCCTATCTTCTCTCCATGGTTTTGTAGTAAACTACTTTTTGTCTTCTTCTCTCGATTGATGGCTTTAGTGACATGTTCTCGACCCTCAAAATGAATAGACCAGCTGTCTTCTAGGTAGATGATGTTGCCCCGCTCTTGTCCTAAAACATGTCCTGCGGCGAAGGGTTCGGCTCCTGCTGACGACGTTCCGACCCGAATCCACGACCAGCCGCCCATAAAGATCCATCTTCTACTACATGGCAAGCTCAGGGTCTCTTGGACCTCTTGCGAAACCCCTGATCTGTTCGCCCTGCTCTTCGTCCAGCAGCGCTGCAGCATTCTCCCCTGCGGCATTAACCTATCTTAACATTAACTAGCTACTTAAAGAAACTAAATTAACTAGTGAATGAAAAATTTAAAAATCGATTTGTAACTGGATGCAAAAGTAATCGTATGCCATCGCCATAAAGCAACTTCTCCGTGATTTGAAATTGTAGTAAAGAGTGGAGTATTGATGAACACCACCAGCGCAGGTTGTACCGGAGAAGAACATCAAAATGACAACAACTACAAGTCCACGAAGTATCTGGCGGAATCTCTAATCGGCTTTTCAGGGTAGGTCTCTCAGATTTAGAACTACTTCTACGACATATCCCACTTCCGTCCTAGTCCGTGTTCTTTTTGGCGAGTCGTCTACTCTCGATTCAGAACAGCGGAAGAAAGAAAACAAGTTGTGATGTCTTCAGTTGTCCGCAAAAAACTTTGGGGCTGGCGTACTTGCGACGTTTGAGAATGGAAGAATCGAGCGGTTTTTCGAAGGCTTCGTGGCATTGGAGCCACAGGATATGCTAGATAAACAGATATCGACAAGAATCGCAAAGAAATTGCCGAAGTTTCATCAGGTACAGTTGTAGTTGTGATATTAATATGCAATCTGTTTGACCGACTCGATGCTATTCTTCAACAAGCGAAAAAAATTAGTTTCGAACCTGGTTCAGAGAAACAAAAGAAGCTAGACAATCTGGATATTGAGCATCTGGAAGAAGAACTAAAATTTTGGAAACAGCATTTCAGAACTTCGCCAAAGGGCACATCAGAAGACGCCGCACCAAATCTGAAGCAAAAAGATCGAGCATTCTGGTCAGGCTTGACACTCTGTCACAACGACTTGCTTGCCTTGCCGGAAATGTGATGGTAAGTACTACCTGAACAAGACACACTGATGAATGGAGCTGGGGGCGATAAAGGTAAAGCAAAGAAGCAAGAGACAGACGAGGAAGATGAAATGCAATTTATCGATTTTGAATATTGTCTATGGAGTTCGCGTGGTTACGACCTATGCAACCAGTTTGCCGCAATCCCGGAATGAATGCTGATCATCCACAACGTGTACTCAGTCGAGAAATACTTCCCTGACGCAGACCACATCCGGAACTTCGTGTGGGAATATTTGAGGGCGCTGAAGAAGGAAGATGAGAGCCAAGAGACTTCTCCTTCTTTGGAAGACAATAAAGTAGAAGACTTCTTACTTAAAGTAGTTCTGCTGGAGGGATTCGAAGAAATATACAAACTCCAACATCAGCAAGAAAAAAACCAAAAATCTTGGACCCTTTGGCGTATACTTCAGGACGTCGAGTGGAAGGATGCCGATTTCGATTATTTGGATTAGACGCTACAGAATTATCTCTATGGTGTTCCTGTTCTGAATCAGGTTCTAGAGATTCTGACTCTTGAATCTGTCCATAATGAGTTGCTTTCGAATCTGATTGCCATTGAGTGCGATTGTCCTCTGCAGTATTCTGCCTTGAGTCTGTGATACAACGAGGCGAGCTGCTGACTAGAATGCAACTTGAGAGAAAGGGTAGGTTTCGCTGTGTCTGAGACTGAGAGCATCCACGTCTTCTACTCTGTGCTGTTCGTAGGTTCTATCCCTTCTGCTCCAAAGTGGTGAAATTTCTGTATTGCAGTATAAGACTCTAATTGGGTTCCTGAGAAAAAGAGCGATATGTTCTTCTTGCCTCTAGAAAACGCGCTCTACTGATTTTTGGACGTTATTGTGCATCAAAATCTTCATGTTGATAGCGTTGTTGATTTCTGGTATCTATGCCCCGAACTCCAAATTGATAAATATCACTTGTTGATTGCTGTACCTCCCACCGAACTCATGCATCATGACTCAGCTTTTACATGACAGTTAGTATATTTTACAGAGCAAAATTTAGTCTTCATCATATTACTCCAGCAAAGAGTACAACTTCTAGTTCTTGTGTAAAAAGTATATTACTAGCGATCTTCTCGAGGTAATGTTGAATGAAGTCGTCTGATCCTACATCTTGTTCTTCATCGTCTTCTGATTTTCAGTTGTGCCACTACCATCTTCATGATAACCCTTGTTCACGAAAATGCCACTCGTCTCTTCAATGCAAAAAATGGAACGGGAGGTTCCAGGTGCCGAAATGATTCAAGTGCGCATTAAGCAAGAGAAGGAAGGTTTTTACGCTCTGACTTTGCCGTGTCCGCAGAACGGTTACAACGTGATACGACGTCCCGGATTCAACTACATTCAGATACAAAAAGAAAAACGGAGGAAGAAAGCGGCGTTGAAGGAAGAGTTGAACAAATGGGGGACAGGAGATGCGGATGGTATTCTATTATCTCCTATTTTGTCAAGGTATAATTCTAAGGAGTAGAATCTTGTGAGAATTACCTCTTCCTTATTTTGCTGCTCCTCTTCCATATTTTGCTGTTCCTCTTCCTGTTGCTGTTAGTCAATCCAGACCCACACAAACAAAAAAATCAAAAACTACAGAATCAGCCGAGCCAGTGCGTGACAGGTTGTCAGACCGAATCCCTGGTGCTGAAGGACTGCGCGCCAAAGTAGAGAGAGAACGACATGAGGGTCGTCAAATCAAGGTCCCTTGCCCTGCAAATGGTTACAGCGTGCACCATGAGCCTCCGTCGAAAAAACATGGCAATAGGGCAAGCAAAAAGAAGACTGCAGAAGTCGATGCAGCGCTAGACATAACTGGCATATCAGAAGAGGCACCAGCAGCACTAAATAATGCGGTTTCTGTACAGGAAAAGGATGACCAAGAAAAGGATGACTTCGCAGCGGTTCGTGGGGAGATTAAACATGGCTACTTGCACAATGCCAATGTCGCTAGAATCGATACGAAAATGGAAGCTAACTTTCAAGAAAGGATCTTTCTACACGCAATAATGAGGCATGGTGAAGAAGGAGTTGCAGGGGAAGGTGAAGGTGCTGACCACCATAACGGAGATGCCCAAGATGGTGCTAGTGCAGAAAGGGGGACAGGAGCTATTGCAGCATTTAATACTGATGATGTTGAAGCCCACGAACAAGTTGAAGGTACGAAGCAAGTCTCATTTGCCCGTACCCCACAGAACACCATTGAGCGACTCAACACTATCGTGGATCTGGAAGATGACATAAACTGTGTTGCTCAGAGAGTACTAGAGGAAAACGGTCTACAATTTGGAACTGGCGACAGACGGGGGACCGCGGACACGATAAGCCCTGGCGACGATGGCGATGATACCTGTTCCTCGGATGGCGAGTTTCATTCGCTGAGGAAAATCTACGGTCAAGTAGGACGCGGGGATAAACTGATCAAACCCGATGGCGGCTTGTTTCACGCGGAAGCTGAGGACGCAGATAGAGTCCATGTGTCGACGCCACCGAATGAGCTGGCTGATGATCCTGCTGCTGAGGTCGTGGAGCAAGTGCAAGAAGCAGAACCTGTTCTTGGGGAAGGAAGAACAGTTGTAGTTGTAGAGGAACAGCAAGATGTTGCCGAACTAGGCTAGAAGATCGGCACGTATCATTTGACGCGGAAGAAACTCCAGCGGTAGGGAACCCTAAGCCCTAAGCCCTACTGACGAGTGATAAAGCATAATCACGAGGTGATCTTCTAACTGTATAGCACCAACGAATGAAGGTGGTCAATTATTAAATATCGTTCGACTCGTCAACGAACTTCTAGGTTGATGAAGAGTGCTTTCTATCAGGTATATATCCGACCGACATTCATCAAAAAATAACAAATTTCTCTTTGATTATACTTACTCGACAGAACGATAACAATAAGAATACTCGACGACCTTTTGTTTTCGAGTGCCTTTAGCATCGAGACGTTCTTGAAGAACATTTGTAGGACTAGTATCATGGCCGCGTGTCAAGTACTTATTCAATCATGCCTCTTGCTGTAGTACTAGTAGAGAAGCTGCAATGAATACTGTATAAGCCATGTACACCTACACCAATAAAGTCTAAATTCAATGGTGGACATTATTTTTCTTCTTTGATCATTTTGTTCGTGTTCTATCTACAAAATTTGATGTTTACCGCTCAAGGATAAGCCCATGAGTGCGCAAGAGAGTTACACAAAGAAAATGCAGGAGAGAAAGTAAAACATGAGTCAAATATAGATGATGAGATTTACCTACATGACTTGTGAAAGTCATTATTTCTATGGAGTAAAAATGTAGTGTGGACTTCCATCGAGTCCCAGGAGCGCCAAACTTGAAGCAAAATTGGCTGAGAGTGAGAAGTGCGAGATGGCAGAAAAGTGCTGAGCGTGCACCGAAGAAAAACGTCTTGATGAATCATGTAGATATTCCTTCGAACTCGAAGCAAATACATCAGGGTGAAGAAGGCAGCTCTTCAATTAGTCCGTGTATGATGATGTATTCTTATATCGTAATTCATTTCTTTGACAATTTTGAAATGGAGATGAAGATTCTCTCAAAATAAATCACTCTTGTTCATTCGCATTCTGATGTAAGTAGTCGGATAAACACAAACACTTTGACGAAAAAGAACCGTCATCTATCAACGAACGGAAAAAAGATGTCGGCAGCCGCCTCGAGAGCAGGAGCTCCTGCTTTCGGCTCTGCTTTGCCTGGCTCTGGTCTTGGCAGGGGAACGAAGTTAAAGCCAGGGAGCAAAACACATCTAGATCTTCTAGGCAGACTTGGAGGAGATGTGGGCACTCTCAGCAGTCCCATTTTCTGTACGATTGTCATAGGGTTCTTCCTCTTTGTCCTCTGCCTGCCCGCTAAGAAACGGACGAAGCTACTGCGGAAGTTATGTCTTGATGTCACAGATTTTTGCTTATAAGTTTTGAATGTGAGGAAATCCTAGAGTCAATGTCAATCTCTACTCATCACCCATCTCATCGTCCCACCTCCACCGCACCTCTTCGACTCCTAACAAAAATCGAATATGCAGTCTTCTGGCCAACCGCTCAAGGTCTCCGACTGCTGGCTTGTGTCGTGCACAAGGTGATGATTACGGCTAGCGATTGGGATTTTCGGATATCAGTGCCTATAGGCAAGAAGCACTGGAAAAAAGTTGCTGTTGTAGACCCGAACTTTCCGATTCAAATCGAATTTCGATTAGAAGAAAGGAAGCTGTCCGGATCCGGAAAGAGTGAGCCTGTTGTAGCCGATGGGATCATGCAGAAATGGGCTGGTGCTTCTGCACCTATTTCATCATCTGGGACCAATGAAAGTTGTAGCTGCACTACTAGCAGCACTCTTGCATTCACCTCCAATGGACCAGCAAAACCGCAACCCGTCCAACTACAACAATGTACAACGCTGCTCTATACCGAGCGTGAAGCTTCTTTCAGTGGTAGTCGACAAGGAACACAGAGCCTACACGTTTTGCAGAAAATAGTCAAAGGGTCTAGTCTGTGGGACCTGGCGTGCGACGTGCTGTATCGAACAGTACAGGGCGGCTCTGGCATGCATGCGACCAACGCGAGGCCATTTTACAAGTTTCTTGAGAAATACAGATTATGGCGAAAATAAGATGCAAAGTAGGGTTTTTTAGATGAAGTTCAGCTTCTTTAATATACTGTGCTGGGGAGTTCCAAGAAATTCTTCATCTCGCGTTCATTGTGGTTAGCTTGATAGCGCTCCTCGTTGTAGCAAGGTCTGGATTCACCCTTTATTTTAGCGGCGGTCCCATTCTTAATCCATCACGCTCACTATCCATCTTCATTTCTCGCTCTGGCGCCACAACTCGACTACCTTTTCGATGCCTCTGCGACGCTCTTTGGTCGCGGCATGACCCATAAGGCACCAGCACACTGCTACAAAGCGAATGCGGACGCAGATCATGAGTCGAAAGGTAACTCTAGTAGATCAATGATGTCTCGAGATTGAGAAAATGTCTTGAAAAAATCAGTACTTAACCTTGTTCAGGCCTTTTTAGTCCTCGACCATTGAAAGCTTTTGTTTTGCTCATCTTCATCTCATTTGCCCAACTTTTCCTCAGAGCTCGAATACGTGGAAACCCCTTTGGACTTCTACAACTTGCTCAAACCCTTCCTCAAGAGCACGTTGTCGTTTTCTGACGTCGAGCGGTTATTTCGCATTTGCAGACTGCACGCGATTGATATATCTAGTCCTTTAGGCGGTAGTGCCAGCTGTAGCACCTTGAGCACTCCAGCAAGCGCAGGTGGAGGAGGCGTCAGCAATCGCGTCATCGGCCTGTTCGATCTCATGGCGTATGTTCCGCACGTCGACCACGGCGCAACGTGCTTTCTAAGTTTGCATGGAGACTCGCTTAGTTTGTATGCCTATAACAGTGTTGATGCGCTCGACGGCAAAGACGAAAATGGGGCACAAAGAGAAACTGAAAGTTTAGTGTGGCGAAAAGTGACTGTGAATCGGTTGACGTTGGAGAACAGTATGGTCTCAGAACCGCGGCGTCGATTCCTCAAGCGCGAAATGGGATCGATATTATGAATCCATATTTTTTCATGTTGATGATCATGATACTCGCTTCCCTATCTAATAGTTCGACGCTTCCAGCAAAGAAATGTCTCACTCCACCAATTTCAATTTCTTACAATGCAAACTCATCGCCTTACAAACATAGCTCCTGTCTGACTGCTCTAATCACCGAGGTCTACAACTCCGCAACGAGTTCAACCAGCGACCGTGCTGCCCAGCACGAGGCGGTTGAGTCAAGTAAGGAGCTACTAGAGACGCTCAAAGGAAGCTACAAGGAGTCCAACATTGCTCGTCGGATTGATAGAGATACTCCAGATACGACGAGGCCCGATGAAGGGCGTGATGTGGATGACGAAGAAACGTCCGCAGCAAAACTTCAACTAGCACTACAACATAGTGATTGTGAACTTTCACGCAGCGAGGAGGAGCGCTTTCTACATGCATATAACAACAAAATGTGGGACTCGTTCCGGGATATGGAACGTGCCTGGTGCGATAACATTTTCCCTCTTGTGCGCAAACGATTTCCACACGGCACAGAACAGCTCGGAGCGTTGTACGAATACCTTGCAGAGCTTTTGCTGGCAGCCGCTGAGAATGAAGATGTGGACGAAATGGCTCCTGCTTTTTATGAAAGGATAATAAAGAGTTCTGGTATGATCATAGAAAAGCTCGATTTCTATTTTTGCACAAAAAAAATTGGATAAGTGAGATAAAGGCTACGAAGGTTTCTACGAAGGTTTCCTGCTAAGCTATATATTTTATTCGCACATGCAGATACTGTTTTCAGTTTTTTTTTGGTTTTGAGCCTTCTTACACAATTTTCAGTTTTTTTGACCTGGGCAGAAAAAAGAATCAAATTGCTCTGTCATTTCATGTGAAGTGATTTCCTGTTCACATGGAAACGAATTCATTGAAAATGAGACAAAATCAAAAATTCTTGAATTTTGACTTTGAATTTTCAATTTTGAAGTGAATTCACAGAATTTTGGATTTTATCTCGTTTTGAATGAATTTATTTCCAGGCGAGCAGGAAATATCTCCAAAAGAAATGGAGTCCTTTTTTCCAAGGATGCAAGCAATATTTCGTTTTTGATTTGTTTCAGCATCCAACTCCATATTAGTGATGTCGTGATTTTTTAGATCATCTATTTCAAATTAACGGCTTTTTTGATAAGAGATTTTTTCACTTCAACATTCTTTAGATGATCCATTCCAGAAGATATGCTGTTAATGTGGAGTTTTGAAGCCAATATTTGATCCATATATTTTAGAATCGTGTAAGTGCAGTAAATGAAGTCCACTTGATGTCATTTATTTTCTTTCATTCTGATCCTCATTGTTTCCATCTAAGAATATTAGAGTAAAATTTTACGACAAACAACATCTCCATTTCATGCATCAACTCCGGTCGCTTATCCCTCTTTCTAATAACCAAGTCTGGACCAGGCAGACAGTCGACGTGTTATAGAGGAGAGGCTTCCATGCTGCAATCTAGCAAAACAGTATGTGAAGATGGCCTTTGTCGAGCGGTTTCGTTATTTCGGTGCATCGCATCCGTTTACCAAGCGAGCGCATCGTCGACAGCAGAAGATGTTCCTTGTGTTGAAAGAAAAGAATCGCGAGTTTCTACGGAGCTGTAGGGAACAAGGAGCAGATACGCAGCGGGACAGGAAGACTAGTGAAGCCGTCCAGGAAGAGCACACTTCGAGGCAGGACGAAGAAAACGAAGACGCCAGAGAACGAACCCAACAAGCTGGAAGTTCTTCCCGTCAGAACGAGAACAAAGAGGAGACAAAAACATCATCGTCACCTTCGTCGGCTGACAAGGGATCTCGTCCAAGTTCCAAGGTCAGCAGTAGCTGGAATTTAGTTTCCGACGTTGACAGCTGCCAAGCAGATGGGTCTTCACATAGCACGAATACGTCCAAGAATACAAGAACTAATACAGTTGAAGAAAAAGAATCTTCAGAAAGCACGATTTTTACGGCGAGACCGGGAGCTGCTCCTCCAACCCGTGGTTTGAGCAACGCACAGAGGAAAATTATGGCTGGAATTGTCATGGTTGTAGCTTATATTGTTAAAACACGACTTGGTCTTGGATTTTTACCTAGATAAAACCCCTACAAAAAAAAATTTCTAAGAGAAGAATCCGGCAAACCAAGGAGCATCTCGTGGACCAACTGCAGGGTCTGGGAGAGCTTGTCGCTACCCTCAATCAAGAAAAGAGGAAGTTAGCGACTCTCACTCAGCAGGTTGCTTCAAGTATGAATGGAGGTGCTGGTGCTGGAACCATGGACTCGTTGTATAACAAATCAAAACCGCAGATGGACAAGAATATGATCATGACAAAGCTTAACAAGCGAAAGATGGCACCCTCAGCGATAGATACGTCGAAGGTGGCTCCTGGTAGTGCCACGACGAGTCCAGAGTCAGTCTGTTCGACGCATGCCTCACCGAGTCCCTTCGACGAAGATGGGGGTCCGCGGACTAGGCCGATCGCAAGTAGTCTGGCGGGATTCGCGGAGTTAGACTGAAGTAGAAGGTTCTGTTCAAATCCTAGTATGAAGTACTGAATGTTGCGAGAGAAGATTTCCTTATTCTCGAAGTAGATAGTTCTAAATCATAATTATCATACCAAGTCTGAAGGCAAGTAGACTGGGGAGGAAAACTGGGAGTAAAGATTTTTCATGTGTACATTCACGAGAGTCAGAAAAGAAAGGAGACACTACAGTACACCTTCACCTTCCGTATATTAATACGAATTTAACCTCTACTTCTATCTCTATGTTTTTGCTGCATGAATTCGTTGTTGTACTAACCAAAAATAACATGACCAACGTGTTCGCTTTCATGCCGATGTCCATAATGTTTTAGCGCTTTCAAAGACTCGTGGTCCTATGATATTGTCCTATTTCCAGCACATAGTGCTTTCGAAGACTCGTGGTCCTATACTATTTCTACAACCTTCAAGATTGTTGTTCCATTCAGTTGTAGTGGATTGCTTTATGTAGAACACAGTGTTTTTTACATCCCTCTGCAGTTCTAGTAGTCGGGCTCCCCGCTGAAGCAGGAATCGAGAGAATGAGCGTGATTTGTCCAGGCAACATCGGTTGGAATCTGCACATATAGACCATGGAGGGGGGAAACAAGGGGGGATAATGGAAGATTTCATGACTACGACCACCTTTGATCCTCCGTACATCTCATTTTTATTTGTGTATGGTTGACTGCTAAGATAAGTAAGATATTACCCCTTCCCTCCAACTACAAGTAGCATTTTTCTACACGACATGATAGTGCTGAAAGTTTATTCAAACTTTTGTAATTTCGAAAATCTAAATTTTTGATTTTATCACATTTTTTCGAATTCAATTCCATGATTTGAGGCGCAATCAAAAATGCTGAAAGCGCATGAGAAATCAATTCATTGACGAGCTTTTGACTTCAAGTTTTAATTTTTTTGGTAAGCCTGAAGTAGAATATGGCTTTGGCAACTTTGCAGTTCAAGTCCGAATCTACAAGCTTGCAACGTAATCGAAAATATTGAGACGATCTGAAACTGTGTTTGGAGATCTCGTGAACAACAGAATCAATCATCATGACTGCACCAGGCGCGCAACCGGCATCGCCCTTCACCTTGGCAGCTGCAGCTGCTCCTGTGTCGGACATCGAGTGCACCGCATCTCGACCTACTGGGCGAAGCTCAACAAACCTCAACCTCCTCGACGACGAAGTAGATCAGGTCTGCTCGTCTTGGCTTGATGTACCAGTGGTGGATTTGAGCCCTTTTGCTGACTACAACAAACCAAATCAACGTGATGATATACAATCGCCTTATCTCTTCAATCCGGTAGCGAGCGCCTATAACATGACTACTAGCACCCCATCCACCTCGTCCTCTTCCTCAAGCGCCAAGAAAGCTGAAGTTGCAAGGAAGATAGCGCAAGCTAGTTCGCGGTATGGCTCTTTCTGGGTCGATGTGTCTGGTTTCTCGCACGTTTGGCGTGGTAAGGGGGACACAGCTACGCCTAGTAGTAGCAGTTCCTCGCTTTTAGGAGTAGGAGCACGGACATCTACATCATCGGGATCAACTGGAGGTTCGTTTGCTGGAGGTGATGCTCCTCCTGGCGCTGGTTATTCTCGAGACAGGGTCTTGAAGTCTGTGCGGGACCTGTTTTCAGTTTCAGACAAGGAGAAGGAACTGAATGCTGCTTTCAATCAGAGGGGCTACATTCCGTTCGGCCAAGAAAGCGGGTCAAAACAATTCTTCGAAAAGAAAGAAGGATTTGCGTATTATGGCTGTGATGTGTAAGTGTATGTGTTGTGCGTAGACGTTATTGTTCGAGTTTTAGTGTTATTTCGTTAATATCGTTGTAGTTCCCCATAGGCATAGGTTGCGGTTCCTAGCTTTAGGTAGAAGAAGATGAAGAAGTGTTTCGTCTTCTACCTCTGGAAGCTTTCATCGTCTCCTCTAAGTCCTTGGCTATTCCGGATGGGACGATCCTAGCGAAGCGTTGAAAACTCCACGTCCACCTGGGCGCAACCTTCTGATCGAATCAGCGGTGGGAACACCAGTGGCCGCGTCAGGAGGAGGAGATCATCTTCAGAAGACAGCGACTATGCCTCGTCCACCTAATCTTCCTATGAACGTAGCTACGAAGGAAAAAGAGAAAGACGACGTGCGAAGTCCAGGGTCCATTCTGTCGAGTCTAGCGACAACGTCTCTTAAGGGTAGGTTAAAGGTGCTTTTCTTACCGCTTTTTATGCCTCTCCTAAGGGAGAAAGGCATAACAAGCGGGGTAAGCGAGCACCAACAACCTACCTCTAAGTCTCTGGAAAGTTTTGACTATGCCTCCTCTGCCGACCAGTACCTGAAGCAAAATACTAGTTCTTTCTTGGACTACTTGGGAACGCCGACGAGCTCCTTTAATCTTCAACTAGACACATCGACTTCTGTGTTGACACCAAGCACGACACTGGGTGGCGGGGGCATTGATCTACTCACATCTCCGATATCATCGAATTATGGAGCTGCTGCAACCACAACTTCTATGCAAAGCAACAAAGAACACTCTACTTATGGCGGGAGTGGAACTACTTCTACAGTTACGAAAGCTGTCCCGACAATTGCACCCCCCTCATCTAGCACCACGCCTACTGCAGCGAAGAAAGATCTTCACGTAGTTGGAGATCGATTACCACAGAACGATATGGAAGCATACAACGTCTGGGCTAAAACGCTTCCTCGGGAAACGGTCACGATACTCTTATGATCTCCTTGCACCGGCGCTTGATCGTTTTCAACACGTGGATCATCTTCAGCCTCATGATCCTCTATTGCTATCTGAAACCGAATCTTTTATCTTTCGCTGTCAGGGTTGATGGCTGATAGGCCAGACGCACAGGAAGCACTGTCCTGGGCGTAATATGCCCAGGGGTCGCGACGTCGCCGGTGGCGCTGCAGCTGCCTTGCTGCTTGGGCGGCCTGAGGGCGCCGGGCTTGGGCCGCGAGAGAGCGTGTCGGCCTAGGGGCTCGGCGGAGCAGCCGGGGTTGGCAGGTTAGGCGTCTGAGGTGCCTCCCAGGAATGCCGAGCTGGAGGTGTGTACACACTGACAGGGAGGCGCCCGAAGGGCGCCTCGCAAAATTTTAACGCATGGGGTGCATGGAGTATTGCTATCTGAAGCCGAACCTTTTATCTATCCGTCTTCCCTCTAATCTTCGAGAAGCAGCTATGGAATCTTTTTATCGCTGTCGGAGAAGCCCTCGTACGCGCGTACTCCTTGATTCTTTACCAAGATGAAGCCCTCCTTGCCGAAGAGTGGAAAGGTGGCGAAACGATCAGCTTGGCTCGAGTCTTTCATTACTTCTCGAGTGCAGGTTCTTCCTCACAGTCCAACAGCAGTTGTACCTTAGGTACAGCTACAACAAACTACACCTCCGGAGGTGGTACTAGCAACAAGACTAACGTTCTTGGGTCATCCCCACACACGGATTGGGGATTACTTACTCTCATCTGCGCAGATGACGTCCCTGGGCTACAGCTCTTTCTCGACGGCGTGTTTCGCACAGTGCAGCCTCGATTTGAGGAGGATTTGATATTCGTCAATTGTGGTGATTTTATGTCTTTGCTTTCATGCGGAAAATTTTTGTCGCCGCTTCATCGCGTTCTGTCACCAGGAGACACGAGGCTGGGCGTCAGCAGTCCGCTAGAGGACGAATCCGTGCCGCTCGAAGATAGTCCGGGAAAGAAACCGAATTGTGTTTATGTCGTCGTATTGAAAAGTGTTCATGAGTAGAATGAGATTCCTCATTCTTCAAAACTACTTCTCAGATCAGTAAGTACTAGTACAGTAGCCGTACTACAAGAACTATTATCTGTACTACTGAGGAGGAGAAGCTCTAGCTTTAGATCTCAAAAAGTGAATGCGTTTGTCGTGTTTGTACAAGAAGTGTTAGTAGCTGACAAGTACTTGTTAGAACAAGATTTCATATCTGCAACGTGAAAAACGAGGGCATTGGAGCAAGCAGCGAAGATGAGGAGTCGGTTCTTGGGGACAAGCCTGGCGAAAGCGTTGAAGAGGAGGATCACCAAGTAGGGGAACATGAGGATCAGCAAGAATTACGGCTACCGCTGAAGCATGTCCTTAACACCATGATCCTTGGCTCCTCTTTTTCAAGGCGAGAAGCAGGGGCTCAAGGATGGGCTCAGGGATGCGACGCGGTAGCTCTAATAGAAGCCGGAATCGGAAGCACTGTTTCATCGGAGGAAGCAGTAGCGACGCCTCTAGTCGTGAAAGTAGACACTTCGACCTCGTCCACCGGTGCGCCTGCAACGTCCAGTAGCAAATTATGTGAAATTTCGATGACGATGTCAAAGAACACAATAAACAATATTTAATATGCCTGTTGAAAAATAGGTTCAACACACTTCTGTATTTACAACTGACTGTTGTAATGTTGTTTTCTTGACCGTAGCAACAAGCTAGCAGGAGATAGTTTTGCTAGCTTGTTCTAAGTCATCCGAAAGGAGTCCTTCTAAGTCATCCACGCCGTGACATCTTTCTCACGTCAACACCAGTAGCAACACCGGTGCCGGCAGCACCTGCAGAGATTATGAATATAACGACCAAAGTAGATCACGACCAAGCCAGAAACAAGCAAGAACAAGCAGAAACAAGCAAGGACGGCCTCCGCACAAAGCAAAGCCCAGCAAGCAACCAATCGCCGATCTATGATCCGAAACCCCGCTCATCATCTTCTGGGAACAAGAATAAGTCTTCATCTTCTGGGAAAAAGGAACACAAAAAACCTCCCATTCAAAAGTTACCGAGTATCGATGCTGTCTTGTATCCCGCGGCTTCTGGAGGGCAGACTGGTAGTGCTGCTTCATCATCGACTGGAGGGAACATCAAACCAACTCTACAACCACGAGGACCAGCCGCACAAGAAGAGCAACAGCGGCATCTGCAAGATCATGATGATGATTATCTGCTTCAGAACCGACAAAACAAGGCTGATGACCGTTGTCAAGATAATCGTTACTCTGTCGTTTTTTTCTTCTATCCGCAATATGACGCGCAGATCCCAGCACTTCCTGCGGGTAGCGGACCTCGACATTATGACAACTTATTTGCAGATTCAGAGCAGTCAGACTGCATCTGCCTCCCAATTGCCTTCTTCCTAATCCTTTCTCGCTTCTTTCTCAAAAAGGGGAAAAAGGCAGCAAGGAAGATGCTAGTTGCACCTAGGATCATGTGAGGACTCTCTTGTACTAAGTATTTCTATTATAAATTTAGAAATGAATATACTTTACGACCTAGAAGTACAATCTAGTCCTCTCATCATTATAAATAGTTCTACTAGAAGCAGCTCTAGCTCCTCTAATGACAAATGTACTCAGTCTTCTCCGACCAGAGTGATGCGGGATTTCAGTACCAGAAACTGGTGTCCACCATAGGCGACTTTTCGAAGATCCAGAGCCTCAGCTTCGGAAAATGGATCAAGATGAAGTGGGATAGCGTCCGTCGGAAAAACTAATGGAGGTTCCTGGTGGGGATCCACAAGTAAGACTACACTTCGATCTCCTGGTGGGGATCCACAAGTAGGACTATGTATAAGACTACACTGCGATCTCCTGGTGGGGATCCACAAGTAGGACTATGTATAAGACTACACTTCGATCTCCTGGTGGGGATTCACAAGTAGGACTTCTATGAAGATGATGCTTTCAAGTAGATGTGTAGCAGAGAGCGTTGACGTTGACGTACAACTGCAAGGTAAAAATTGGCGGATGCAAGAAACGACAAGATGAAAAAGCCATGCTTAAACGTTTTTTAATTGGCGGTATTTTCAATATCTCTGTTGATACATCAATTATAGTTTTTGCTAGACCTCCTTTACCTTTCTTTGACGCTGCAAATTTAACGTGCGCCGTGATGGAGGATGAACAAGGTCAAAGTTGTGTCTTGAAGGAAGATTACTGCTCGTGCGCGACGCGCCGCACGCCATACTATTTGCCTGCTTGCAGAAACTCTAGAAGCAAGGTGTTCGCACAGAAATTGTTCTAGTGCTGCATCGAAGTCATCGTGATCATGGTCAAGACCCGCGGCGTCTCGTTCCTTTAAAACTTCTCGTCGTTCATCCTTTGTTGATGCAGCAGGGAAACAAGTAGGAAACACTCATAATCATGACTAGATAGCTCCTCTCTTTTTATTGAAAGTACGACCTTTTTGGCAGTTCTTCTAGTTGAAACGCGAGAATCGTAGACCCAGGTAACAAAAAAAGATCATCAAAAGCCCCCTGAATGTGAATGAACGAAAGCATCAGCAAAAGCAACGATTATACCCACATTTTAGTCAACACAGGGAAGAAATCTTAGAAGGCATCTAGCTGCTCGCTGGGTAAATTCAATAGAGAACGAAGAGAACCAACAACTACTGCCTCCTTCATCTACATCAAGTTCACAAGACTCATCTGATATCAAAACATCAACCTCCAAGAAGATCTAAGACTGAATAAGTACTTAGATTTGGATTTCCGACCAATAAAATGAAGATGTCCGCTAGTACCACTGCTGCAGTTCACTCTGCAACTCGTCGCTCTGGTGGAAGTACAGGAACAACCTCGGCAAAGAAAAACCAGTTCTGTTATCGCTGGCTTCCGTTTCTTGCTACTGTTAAGGCCTCCCCATACCCATCTCCAAAAGCGTCTTACGCCTGTACCATAAGGGGAAAGCGGCTTAAGATAAGTCACAAGATCGATTAGGGTGAGCGCTAATACTATGCTTCTTCTGGCGGGTTTCTCTTCTTTCGTAGAAGCTGCTGGGAGCGGTCGTGGGGATGTACTGTCGCAACGACCACGAGCAATGTTAGAAGAGGGACCAGAAACCGACGCTGAAGCATTGACGATGCAGAATCAATTATGGCTAATTGTTATCCGCTTTGATGTAATTGTGCATGTCGTACTGAAAATAATCTCAGTCACAGGAACAAATACGTGTCTTCCTCTTCGATGATTAAGGTGAAGCATGCACCAGGGACGCACAGTCTGTAAGAGACGACCGGTTAGCGTTAGTAGTTATTTCCCTTGTCTGTCTACTACTACTCCCTTTTTTTTTGTTCATGTTCAAAAATAAAAAGTACTTAGAATTAAATTGAAGTATTGAAATGGATTCAAAATAAAATGTAGAAATACGTTGCTACATATTTTTTTTACTACACTTCGTTCACCTTTTCAGCATTCTACACTTTCACCTTGTGTGAAGACCTAGCAAAGCCATCCTATCCTATCCTATCCTATCCTATCTTCAAAGTCTGGTGCTTGTTCTTGTTAGATAGTACACTTCACCTCCTCAACAGCTGCTTCTAACAAGATCGAAGGAAATCGAATGGCAACGAGCGGATATCGAAAACGCAGTGATCGACTGGATGATGTTTTCGAGTATGAGCGTGAACAACGAGTTTGGCGTGCCAGACCGTGTAAAAGATCGGCTCTCGTCTGCAGCATGCCTCAAGTTTAAGGCTGCTCAATAAGCCTAGAGATGAGACAAAAAGTCAAAAATGTTTGTAATGATGTCCGTTGATCTTCTGAAGAGTCTGACATAGAGTTGTACCGCAGAGTGGCTCTCGCATCCTTGGGTTCCTCAACATCTTGAATCATCCACACTCCTCGTGAGTCTTTGTAATATAGTTTTCAAGAACGACGTCGCGCCGAACAACTAGTACGACGCCCTTTTGGCAGTCTGCACTGTATTTTGTGCGACGAGCTTTATTGTACTTAATATTGCATTGCGCGCCGTTCTTCGTTCTCGTAGAGGCAACTACTACATCTAGATCTAGATCATCTAGATTGATTTTCTTGATTGCCAAGTAGTTGTTTATATTTTCCTTTCGTCTAATGAGGTGATCGTGAACGGAAATAGTGAAGCCGGAGGCGCCATACGTCGCGTGCTCTCTGCTTTTCGTTCTATCCGACGAGGAGCATCAGCAACAGCACGAATTGATTGGGAGTATGTGTCCATAGGCAGCCCGGCTAATCGTGCATTACTTGCGGCCATTGAATGGTTGGGTTACTGCAAGCCCGGAAACTAACTTCTGAGCAACAACCAAGTACTTCTTCCCAGGTCGTTCTCGTAAAAGAAAAACGAACAACAAGAGCAAACAAGTACAAGGCCGACAACAGTCAAAAGGGACGGACTTCGACAGATCACACCTCTTGAGGTGCAAAGGGAAGAAAAACGAGGACTATAACAGAGTAGTTTATAGCACGCATGGTGCATGGAGTGCATGGAGTAGCATGGAGTGCATGGAGCGCAGAGCTTTAAGGGGCGCAAGAAGCTCCCCCTTTAGCTCCATGCTACTCCATGTGATCCATGCACTCCATGCCATGCGAGCCGTGAAACCTTATAAACTGCTCTGCTATAAGACTCGGGAGAAGACATCAACTGCTAATTAATTCTTCTATACCCCGTGATTGGGTACACTACTAAGAAGATTCTAGCTCGCCAAGGTAGTTTCATCCGCTCCATCGCCTTCCTTTTATTGAATGTACATGATCAGAATGATCTAATTACCCATGCTAGTAATCTCAATGATCATTTGTATTTGATCTAACCTGTAAGTAGAGGGACAACACTAACATGCCTACACATCAGACGGCCTCATCTACTTTGAAGATGGCTTTTTCGATGTCGACCGACATCCACATTAAGAGAGCAGCTTTGACTTGCTACGTGGTTCGCGTGAATGAATAAGAAAATGAAAATAACACGACGCATAATTATAAATATAGATAATGGATAAGGATATGTACCTTGTTCTCTTGAACTAATACTAATATTATCTTAGATGAGTGCAAAAGTTGTTTCTGTTGGGATCGAACGCTCCAGAAGGAACCTGCGTCTATCATGTGCTGCGTGTTTTGTAATACTTTTGACCATGGGAAGATGGAGCTCGAGAAGATCATTACATTCAAAAACCTCGACAAGGAGCACACGACGGCTGGAATGACAACATCAAACAAGAAGAGAAGTGCGACGAACAAAGTCAAAGACAACACACACAAGAAACAAGATCTGTCCATCCGTCGAGGAGAAGGAACATGTTGATGGACCCTAAAAGGAACCAAGCAAGGAAGATCCAACAGCTAGACCTAGATCATTCCAACTAAAAGAAGTAATGTGATGAGCAAGAACAGCAGGAAGATCATCCTCTTCTAAGGACGAAAGACAAAACAAAGATCGATCCTCGTTAGCTTAGTGAGTAAACGGACGAAAGACAAAACAAAGATCCTCGTTAGCTTAGTGAGTAGTAATATGTTCTTTCTATTACGGGAGGTCAGTTTGAGCTGACATATTGGAGGTTGAAGAAGTTACGGCGTCACAAGTACAGAAGTGACGTGTTGTGGACTGTGTCCGAACTGTGTCCGAATTCTTTCAACACAGGCTATGACACGAAACAGATTAATGAGTAGATGAGTCATTTTTATGGCCAAGAAACAAGATGAATGAAGACATGAAGGAGATTCATCCTACTACTTTACCAGAAGTAGAAACATGCGAGCCGCCAGCAAAGCGGCTCCGCAAGGCGACCAGTGGTAACGCTCCATCTGCAGTAAGTAAAGGCGTCAAGAAAGATGACACCACGTCGTTTGGCGCGACGCCTGTATCCGACTTACGTGTTGAGAAGTGGGTCTCAAGCTTATCGTGGTCAGTTGCATCGTCATATGATTCTTCAGCAACCTCATCCGGTCGTGCACAGGAACCATGTGGAGTAGCTCCTCCGGCATCTGCTTCATGTGGAAGACACGAAGATCGATCTGGCACAAAACGACAAGAGGGAGAGCGACAAGAAGAGGCACATCAAATAGTAAAACAAATATCAAAGCCTTGGTCTTTCCTACGCTTACTCCCCTACACGACGATTTTCAGCACCTACGCGAAAAAGAGGTGGCTCGGTCGCGACCTCTTAGAGGTGTTTTCGAAGGAGTTTGTCAGATTTGATGCTGCTCACTATGCGGAAAAGATAAAAAACGGCGATATACGTGTTAATGGAAAGAGAGTTGGAGGAGGTACTATAGGTGCTGATGCGAAAGCGACGTACACGATCCAAAACGGAGACCACATTACACACACGACAGATATTTGCGAGAATGTCATTTTGGCGGAGCCTGAGTTGCAAATCATCGCGGACTCTGAGGACTTACTGGTCATCAACAAACCCGCATCCCTGCCGGTTCATCCAGTTGGGAGTTACAAGTACCTCACGGTGACGGGGTTGCTGGAGGCGGGACGATATGTTAAAAATAGGTCTGCTGGGGTGGATGGAGATGGAGATGGTTCTTTGGAAGAGGACCAAAAAAATCATATAGGAGAAGTAGAAACGGAAGCATCGTCAAACGCGCTTCTATCAAGTTGTAGTAGTTCTTCTTCTTCACCTCCCTCAAAGTCAAAGCCAAGAACAAGAACAAAGTCTTCAACTTTTACAGAAGAGCCGTGGCTTGCCGCTCTTGCTTCTGCAGAACATGATTCTAGATCGACTAGTTCGGGTTCCAACAGAACAAGAGTATCTGGTGTATCATACACGTCTCTGCACACAACGCACCGCTTAGACCGCTTTACTTCGGGACTCGTTCTCCTTGCCAAAACAAAGGATAGAGCCCGGTCAATCCAGACAGAGTTCACCTCTGGCAGTATTAGGAAAACGTATTTAGCCGTCGTGCAAGGGAATATGATCGAGAAAATTTCAGCACGGTGGTTGCTGACTGCTAAATCAGAAGATAATAGTACTAGTAGTACTAGGACTACTTCTACGTCATGTGGAGATCATGAACATGAAGATAGTACTTCTAAAACTTCACCTGAAGAACCCGGTAAATACGACGATGTAACGGTGCTTCATCTACCAGCACGTGCACCTTCTGGGGTAGCAATAGCGACAGCAACAAGTGAGCAGAGTCTCGCGATCATAGTTCACGGTAAGATGCGTTGTGCTTCTCACAAACAGGCAAAACATGAGTTCCTTTCTTTACATACAGCTAAGGAAGACAATGTTAGAGACGACACAGCGAAATACAGCGAGACTTTGTTTGTGCCCTTGAAACACGATACCGCGACAAATACCACATTGGTGTTGTGCAAGCCGGTAACCGGTAGAACACATCAGATCCGAGTTCACCTTCAATTTCTCGGATGTCCTATTGTCAATGACGCATGCTACAACGAGGACTACCACAAGCGCCGCGGTGGAAAAAAAGCGTCCGATGATCTTCACCACGAGAAGGTTGGAGATGAACAGAAAGTTGCGAGGCAAGTGTTAGAAAAACAGCTAGATGAACAACGATTACTAGATATAGAAGGAGGTGCTACAACTTCTAACAGTGATACGACGCATACGACGACGAACGACAATATTCTAGATAGAAGGAGCAACAAGTCATTGTCAGTGGGTACAGCTACAGCAGACTACGTGGTAGAGACTACAGACGATTATCCTCTTTTCCCGGGTGGCCATTACTCGGGAATTTTTCTGCATGCGATACGTTACGCTGGAGAGGAGTGGATTTTTGAGACACCCTTGCCATGGTGGGCCACGAGATTCCTCGTTGACTCAACAGAATGTGCCTCACAACCGCAGGCGCAGCCTCTACTACACCTTCCATGTGTTTACGAGCACCTGCTGCAGCAGTCAGTAGAAGAAATTCGAAGTAGAGCTTCTTCATCTGCTACGGAACAACCCTAGTATGTAAGCCAAGTCCCGTCAGGATAAGTTGCTCCCAGAACCATACTCACATAAGGACGCAATACTAAGCCAGACTACCCATGATGTTGTTACAACCTAACAGCAACTTCTTTTTTACATTTACTACTAGATTGAAGGTGAGCGAGCGTGAGGTGAATCATCTTCAGGGGCTCTAGAATGCCTTCATCAGCTACATTCGCAGAGTCCTGAACCCTCCAAACAATGAAATAACCCAGCATTCGAATTCGTGTTCTTTCATCCTTTTTGGGCATCGTTCTCCTAGAGGTGGGCCCTTTCTAGCGTTCGTGAAAGTCTTGCTCACCATAATGAACAACAGTTATCGGTTGATGTTTCTAAAATACATTCTGTTTCCTGAAATAAAGTAAGTCCTCTTCGTATTCGACGTTCCGCTTGCAGATAGTGACAGTGATACAAGATGATCCGTGATCATAAAGTAATAATATTGATAATAACGAGAGAAGATTCAGAAGATGGACGTTGATGATGCATGCAGACCAGCAGTGTTCCCGTTCCAACATATTGATACTAGAAGATGAATGAAATAATAATGATTACTTAGTACAGAGAGATTGAACTTGAAGAAGAAGAACAGTGTGAGCAGCAGTGACCCCAGAGTCAGTGAGGCGAATGCAGACGATAATGTCCTCTCTGTCTACAACGGAGCAAGCGTCGGTGAGGCGAGGACCTCCATTATTCTGTTTGACCAACCTTCGGTTTTTAAGCGTGAGAAGAGAGTACTCGAGTCAGTCTAATAATACATAGTACACTCTTCATCCGCTTATACCAATACCTGTGAAGCATATACAATCTTGTCATCTAACTCTAAGTTTATTTGAAGATTGTTGTAGCAATTTCTCATTCTATTGTGATTTCAAGTGAATGATATTCGTTGTTGTATCTTTAGCATTTGTGTTTGTGTGTGATAAAGAGATGACAATTCATCTGGTCCTCTTTTTAAATCGAAAACACAATGCAGATTTGAGGGACCCCGCCCTCATTTTTCTTTCCCCATGTTGATTGCAATTGCATCTACTTCGACTTTCACAATTTTTTCGAAATAAATTTTACAACAAATTAAAATAGATGCTCTTCTTGGTAACTTGATGACGAAGACCACTGCAGCAAACAAGTGTAACGTTTATAGGAGACAACAACATCAACAACACTAGAGAAAGACGAGTAAAAGCGCCATCTTCTTCATCGATCATGAAGATGGTGCGTTGTGTGGAAACAAAAGGCCAGATCTCGTTAAGAGGTCTAGGTGGCAACAGCGGAAAAGGAATGCGACTTTCGTCGCTATTTCTGTTGTACGTCTGTTGGGTTCTTGGGAAAAGCACTATGGCTGGTGTTATGAAATAGAAGGCTTGCTTTCGTTTACATTTGATATTGGTTGCTAGTCATCGTGGTAACTGCAGTACTTCTAGAAGATGAGTGGTAAGCCGGATATAAGATGATCATGTGATATCAAGATCAAAAAAAGCACACCGAAGCTAAGAACGATATCAAATACAAGCGTAACCGTAACGGTCGAGGTGAGTAGTACTAGAAGAACACAGCATGAAGATCCTCTAATTTCACCTCCAGCAAGAACTACTCGCCTGCCACTGTCTGTGGCATCTTGATGCCGCCTTTGATGGGTCTTCAGCTTCTCTCGGTAGTCGCCTATCGGGTGGAAAGAACTGATGTGCGGATGGGTAGAACTGCCACTAATACGATGGTTGAACAAGAAGACCAAGAAGGTGAAAGTGTTGCTGTGCTTCGTGAACAACATCCCCTACAGATCAGTGACGCTCCTACGATGGTGGGACAAGAACAAGAGGATCAACAAGATTATGTACTGCTTCCTGAAAATACAACATCTTCCACTACCATGGAGCAACTTACATCAGCATCAACTAGCTTGATCCCTCATCCTCGAGAACAATATTACCTACTACATCAGCATCACGGTGATGTTCGGGGTCCACCTCCACGACCTGCTCTGAACTACCTGCTCAGCGGAAGCGTCACAAATAACGCAGACAACGATGAGGACTCGTCTCGTGGAAACGTCACAAATAACGCAGACAGCGACGAGGACTCGTCTCTACTACAAACGAGCCAAGGACGGAACCAAGTTGCTAACAAGAAAAGCTTTCTTGCTGATGGCATCGGTTAAGGCTAGTTATTTATCATTTTCAGGTATCCTGCTCTTTGTTGAGTTGTTAGAGGTAAAAATATCCTGCAGTGCTCTTAGAGCTCCTCTAGGAGTGCAGCAAGAGTGAAAAATATATATGTTTTTTCCACTCAACAAAAACAACCCTCGGGGGCTACAAGAACGGCCACACAAATGTTGATATTAGCCGCGCTAATGCAACAGATTTATGAATCACGCTGCGAATAAGGTTACGGAGCACATTGAAGACACTCTTGACATCAATCTCGATCCTGCTGAGCTGTGGCAGAGTACAGTGGAACTTCTGAAGGAAGCTGCCCAGAGTCTGGTCAAGGGAGCAGTAGACGAAGTTATGGTGTAAGGACTTATGTGTAAGAAATTCATTAGATAAGTATCTACTAGCCTGGAGCGCCCGATGACATCCCTCCCACTAGGATCCCCCTCCTCCCCAAAATACGAAACTAAGCAAGGCAAAGATGTAAGCGATACGCGTTTTCAAATTTCGAAAATTTTCCACGTTTTGCCATCGTTTGGGGATTGGGTCTCGTGCGTTTGAAGTCAAGGGCTAAGATCCCAAAGCTTTTCGACTTTCAGCCCTTTCGCTGAAATTTAATGCCTTGGCTTCGCGTTTTTCAAATTTCGAAAATTCTCCACGTTTTGCTGTCGTTCTGGGATTGAATTTTGTGCGTTTGAAGCGCTAAAGCCCCTAAGCTTTTGACTGTCAGCCCTTTCCCTGAGATTCAGTTTCTTGGATTCGCGTTCTTCAAATTTCGAAAATTTTCCCCGTTTTGTCGTCGTTTTGGGATTGAATTCTGTGCGTTTGAAGTGCTACGATCCCAAAGCTTTTGACTTTAAGCCCTTTCCCTGAGATTCAGTCTTTCTCTTGGCTTCGCGTTTTTCCAACTTCGATAATTTTCCACGTTTTTCGTCGTTTCGGGGGTGAATCCCGTGAGTGTGAAGCGCTAAGATCCCAAAATTTTTGATTTTAAGCCCTTTCCCCCGAAATTAAATGCCTTGGCTTCGCGTTTTTCAAATTTCGAAAATTTTCCACATTTTGTCGCCGTTTTGAGATTGTGTTGCGTGAGTTTGAAGCGTTAAGATCCCAAAATTTTTGATTTTAAGCCCTTTCCGTGAGGTTCAATCTCTTGGCGTCGCGTTTGTCAAATTTCGAAAGTTTTCCACCTTTTTCGTCATTTTGAGGGTGAGTCCTTTGATTTTGAAGGGCTAAGATCCTAAAGTTTTTGACTTTACGCCCTTTCTCTGAGATTTAACTCCTTGGATTCGCGTTTTTCAAATTTCGAAAATTTTCCACGTTTTGGCGTCGTTTTGAGATTGAGGCTCGTGAGTTTGAAGCGCTAAGATCCTAAAGCTTTTGACTTTAAGCCCTTTCCCCCGAAATTCAATGCCATTGCTTCATGGTTTCGTAGTTTCCTGGTTTCGTGGTTTCATGGTTTTTTCGTGGTTTCATGGTTTTTCGTGGTTTCGTGGTTTCATGGTTTCATGGTTTCATGGTTTCGTGGTTTCCTGGTTTCCTGGTTTCGTGGTTTCTTGGTTTCCTGGTTTCCTGGTTTCTTGGTTTCCTGGTTTCCTGGTTTCCTGGTTTCCTGGTTTCCTGGTTTCCTGGTTTCCTGGTTTCCTGGTTTCTTGGTTTCCTGGTTTCCTGGTTTCCTGGTTTCCTGGTTTCCTGGTTTCCTGGTTTCGTGGTTTCATGGTTTCCATGGTTTCCATGGTTTCCATGGTTTCCATGGTTTCCATGGTTTCCATGGTTTCCGGGTTCAGGGGTTCATGGGTTCATGGGTTTGGGGTTTGTTTGTTTTTGTGTCGGAGGTTTTGGGTTCGGGTGTTGGAGGTTTTGGGTTTGGGTGTTGGAGGTTTTGGGTTTGGGTGTTGGAGGTTGAGGTTTCCGAAGGGATGTGTTTGCAAAGTTTTATTGCTCTTAATATTATAGAAGACCACTACAACATCAACTAAATTTTGGGTTAAATGGATGCAGCAGGGTTAGGGACATTAAACAACCTACAATCTAGTCCTTTCCTCGTCAATAGTTGCGAGAACTGGAACGTGCTGCATCACCCATTTATGTCTTCATACGAGGGAAGTCCTCGCCTACTTAGGAGCTAATGTAACTCTACTTCCTTGGTAAGTGAAGTAGTATACCCATACGCAGAGACTGACTGACCACGAGGACAGGCGAACGTGGTATCTATACTTACTAGACATTACTTCTAATTAAGCGCAATGTAATATTGCGAGTGTAAAAGTCGCTATGTTGGTCGTAAATTAATTAAGTACAACTAGAAATCGTATGAAATATATACACAGCGTTCTGTCTACACAAAGTAGCTCTCTCTCGGATGAGCAAAATAGGTTGCATTTCTTCTCGTCATTCTGATGCGCATTAAAGCCGTCTGGTGGTCTTAGATTCAATCTCGGATAACTTGTACTTGATGATAAAACATGATCAGTTCAATCTTCTCCCGTATAATTTCTACTTTCCTGTTTCGACAAGCAGGGGGGCTCGATGTGAAAGATCCCCAGTAACCTAACCATTACAACTGGGGAAAAAATAGTAGTAAAACATTACCACATTACTTTTTGTGGTTCTAGTGGGGAGTAAAAAAACAACTTAATACATTTATCGGTGATTCATATTGATGACTTGTTGTATTAAGTAGTTGCCCTTCGTCGTCCTTCTTCATCTTTCTTGTTGGGAAGAAGAATTTATTGGCTTTCGTAAGCATGATTGAGGACCGCGCGTGCAACCTTTTCTCGAACCTGATGTCAGCTGCGGTTCAAAAATTTGTTATGGCTGATCTCAAACTGATGTGGCTTTCGCTAGTGGAGTTTCAATTTCTTTGGTTAGATAATATTGCACTGCTCTTACTGCTTCAAAGCTTATTAAGTAAGATTGTGGAGTAGATTTTTGACTATCTAAGCCTCTAAGGCTAACAAGATTATTTTCCCAGTTCTTGCGACTTTTCTTCAGCATCAGAAAATAGTGTCTCGCATTATGCAGTATGCTTTTTTTCTTTT